TCATCTTTGTCTGAATGGCAGGTATGCCCTAGGGGAGGAGTGGGCAGAGGAGGGGGTTAGTGAGTGAGAACCTGTTTGCTGAGGTGGTTGCCTCCTATCAAGAAGAACAGCGTCCATCTTACCAATGGCCAGGGACAGGAGGATGAAGTGCCTGGGACCCTAGCAAAGGATGCAAATGGGGACCAGCGGTCTGTCTCTGTTCCATTAGGACCAAAGGCCTCACCGTGGTGTTAACACAGAGCTCCCTGCCTTTTGTGGAAGCCCCAGGGTCCTCATTTGATGGTCTGGGCATCTTCATGGCCACACAGCATTTAGGAAGGCAGCTATGTGCCATGGTTCTGACTCAGTGGTGACTTGGGGCTTTGTTGAATGTCCCATTGTGGTTGGTGATGGGGATAGTGTTTCTGTGGATCTTAGAGGCAACATAATACATGTGTTGTGCTGTGCAAGGGATTAAGCGTGAAAATCTTACCCTCTTAGATGCAGCCCGATGGTTTTCTGGGTTTCTTTTTGCTCTGCCAAATGCATAGTAAGCAAGAATGACAAGTAATGCATTACACACCGAATGGCTTTTTCCTGTTCCCCAAACCACTCAGGCAGCACTGATGTGTTTTTGACTGTGACATTTGCTCTGGAAGTACTCATGACCGCTGATGCTGCAACAGTGTTTAGATGTCACCCTTGGGTTTGCAGAAAGGGCAACAAGAAAATAGGATGTGAGCACTGAGTATCCCAGCCTGCCTTTTCATCGTTGTATTCATCACATTTTTGTTAAACGCCTTCTTTGGGGTGAAGTGAACCATAGTGATGAGACTCAACAGGCTCTGTATTCAGAACTACTGTGTGTTTAACCTCAAGCTCGGCTGCTTACCGCTGTGTGACCTGGGGCAAGTCACTTCACTTTTCTGCACGTCAGTTTCATCGTCTGTACAACTGGGACACTGTGACACCTACACCTCTCTTTCTGGGATTGTTTAGAGGATTGAGATCCTCCGTGAAAAGCTCCATACATTTTACCGATTACTATTACGTGCTAGGCTCTAGAGATAAATGTGAGCCCTGCCCTCCTGGAACTTACAGTCTGGTTGGGGAGACAGATGTTAATTGAATAATCATGCAAGTATAAAACTACCTGTGTGCGGCTAACCTCAAATGAGACACCAGAGAAAGGTTCCGACCAAGTGTGGATTGAGCTCAGGCCTGAAGGATGTCTGCATTTCCTTGGTGAAATGGAGTAAGGAGGGCATTCTAGTCTGGTCAGAGGAAGCTGGTGCAAAATCCCTGTGGTCCTTGGGCATGAAGGTGCTGTGGACATTTTTTTTTTAAGATTTTATTTATTTATTTGAGAGAGAGAGAGCAAGAGAGCACGCACATGAGCACAAACAGACTCCCCACTGAGCAGGAAGCCTGAGGTGGGGCTCCATCCCAGGACCCTGGGATCATGACCTGAGCCGAGTCAAAGGCAGACACTTAACTGACTGAGCCACCCAGGTGCCCCACTTTGGACATTTGAAAGATCGAAAGAAAGCCAGTGTGGCAGGGTCTCAGGGAGCAAATAGTTGACCAGGGTCAGATGACCCCTGGTGCAGAACTTTGTGGGTATGTTTAGGTTTTTACCTAATTTAAAAGCAAGGGGAAGTCACTGCAGGGTTTTAGTAGAGGAAGGACACAATCCAGTCACATTTTGCAAATATCACTGGCTGCAGAGTGGAAAATGTCTGGGAGCAGAGCCGCATGGAAGCCGTTAGGACACCCATGCCCAAAACTGTCACCCAAGCTCCCTTGATGGGTGATAAGGATAGCCCTACATATGAAAACATAGGTACTCAGGACGAATCCCAGACCTGTAAGGATCATAGTGGGGTCGGGGCTGGTGACCTTTTCAGGCAATGTTGGGAAATCCTGCTGTGGGTTCTGTCGAAATGACGAGAACCTAATTCCACTTTAAAAACAATTTTTAAAGAATAAGTTTCTGAAGAGTGAAGACCGGACTGGTTTGACTGTGTATTGTGTATTTTGCCCGTGACTAATATTTTGTTGAGGATGATAAAACTAGGACAAATGCTAGCACATAAACCAAGTCAAACCAGTTAGCGATGATTTTTAATCATTTTCATTCGTGGCCTGGGTCTCGTTTTTGTGAGCGGCACAGGAAAGTTGCGGGCACCACCCTCCTGGGGCAGCATCCTCCCATCTCTTTGAGTTAATCTTGTACTGACTTGGGCTGCCGGTCTCTGATTTTTACCCTTGAGGTGTCCTAGAAAATTCATGACAGAATTTGAATGGGTGAGAATATAGGCTTCCGTGTTGACTAGTGTCATATCAACATTTCACGGGAGATGGGAGGTGAGCTCAGGTTCTGGAATCAGAATTGGCTTAGGAGGGCCAGCTCTTCTGCCAGCTGCCTGTGTGGCCTTAGGCAGGCTGTGGACCATCAGAGTTTCTCATTTTTGTCTTTGTTGTGAAGTTTCTTGGATTAAATGAAAAAGATAAGTGCTATTAAGTACCCAGTACATAGTAGGTGCTCAAGAAATAGCCAGCCATCCTGCCTTCTCCCCTGTAAACACTTTTTCCCCTTACCCCTCTGAATCCAATGTGGTTTGTAGAAAGAACACGGACCCTCATGGGCAGACCTGTGTGATATTTCCAGCTTTGTGTAGATAAGGTTTTTCCACCAGTGTTCATCCATTCATCTGTCCAACTAGCCAACTGAGCACCTGCCAGGGGACAGACCGAAGAACTGGGAGCTGAGTAGAGCTGTAAACTCTCACTGAACACAGCTCTCAAGAAGTGGGAACAAATATGTCTTGAAAAAACCAAAGAGGCAGCAGCTGACAGTCCAGTCCCTATGTTTTTGTTTTCCACACTGACCACAGAAGTAACTGCGAAGTCAATTTCCTTCTGAAGAAAGGGTACTGTGAGGCAGTGTTGCTGTCTGACCAGGTCACTGCAGGCCCCTACAGGTGACTGCTATGGCCTGCTGGCTGGAGAAGTCTTCAGTGCTGGAGGTGGGGTGGAATAGCACTCACTCAGGCCTAGTGTGTAGACAGAGAATGGAGTGCAATCTCTGAGGGATCAGGCATGTAGTGAAGAATCAGCTGAGAGGACTTACTTCTCAAGGCAGAAGATTACTGGGAATTAGGTTATCCTGCATCAAGGTCCTTTGGGGAATCACAGAGTCTTGGATGGTATCCCGTATCTTCCTTCATTCTTGCAAAAGGGACCGTTCGGGGTCCTGTTTAACACCTAGATCTCCAATACTGAAGTACGTAGGAGGCCAGATAGAACCTGCAGGGGGCCCTGTTTTCCAACTGTGCCCCTTGGTTTTATGGCTGGTTTTAACCCCTGAAAGTCTTAGAGACCAGCACTTAATTAAGCTAGACTTAACTCTGGCAAATCGTTGTGACCAAGGATCAGATAAGACTCCAAGGACATGAAATATCTTCTCTTCTGGAGAAGCCTGCTCACTTGGCCCTTTCTCAGGGCTCTTAGCCCTGGAGAGACTTGTCAGGCCCAGTGAAGGAGGCCCTGGCCTGAGAAGCTAGGAGGTCTGTTTTCTCATCTCAACTCTGCTAGAACTCCTGTGACCGTGAGTGACTCACTTCTAGAGCTTAACTTCATTTAGCCTCCACTTGACCCTCTAATGATCAGGTTGCACAGATGATGACAAAGGAACTTTCAAAACAATAACATCCTATGATTTCAACCCATAAATATCCCCATTTGTGTTATCTTTTTGTGTTATCTTTTGTATCTGTTTTAAAGTCCCTGCCCCAACTAGATTATAAAGTTCCTTGAAAGCAGGAATCATGCCATCTGCATCTTGGTACATTGGTAAAATATCTAGCAGCGTACTTTTCACATAGTAGATGCTTTAAAGATCTGTTTGATTTATTGATTATATATTGGCAAATTTGGAAGAACCTTACACTGAGCCTATCGATGATGACTTTTGCGACTGTTCCAGAGCTGAGAACCACCATCCCTAGTGGCTGTAATTGACAGGCTGGAAAAGCAATCAAGGTGGTCAACAGATAGGCAGCCAGTGAACAACGCTGTTATAGTGTGGCATGAAAGCAACTTGCCCTCTACCTGCAGTTCCTTTCAAGTACAGTACAGGAAAAGTGGCCCATTAAGACAAAGGATTTACTCATCTTCCTTCACTTTGGGAATCTGAGCCTTGCCTGAGTTCTCAGGCTGTTTTCCGATTTCTGCCTTGGTATATATGTGTTGCAGAAGGGCTTTCGGGAGTTGTGTCACAGTAAGCCATTACCAAATCGAGGCATTTCTGACCTTGGAAACACCCAAGTCACGTTATCTGTCAGGTCACTGGAGTTTGAACTCTGAGGCAGGTATGAGATGTTTTAATTCGTTGGCGTGTGCGTGTGCATGTTTATAGCCAGTTTTCATGTCCCCGTGTCCTGTGCGTGTACATTTACGTGGTGGCATGTGACTTCACACTATAGATGCTTTGTAAATTATGTTATTTACACAGTGAACTTAACGTTTTCACATTTGTGAGTGGGGTAACAACTTTAGGCTTTCATCTCCTACTGAATGCAAGTTCTTGGGGTTGTAGGGTGTAGGATTTTTCCCTCAGCCGGTCTCTTAGCTTCAGGTTAACGGATTCAGTGACATGAAAAATTCAGTGAAAAAAAATTCAACGTTGTTTTATTCTACTATAGAGATATGGAAGTATGGGAACCATTGTTCATTAGTCTGCAGCTAGAGAAGAGCCAGCCTGCATTGAGAACCCCAACTATAATATTTTTCAGTAGGTATTGATAGTTAGGGTGGTCAGGGATGTGTTGTCAATAAAAAGAGTTGTCAATGAAAAGAAAGAGCTCTCTGGTATTTTGAGAAGGGGAAAAAAATCCCTGTTTGGATTTTAAAGAGGACTGGGAGCTAGGGTTTATGTTTCTTATCAGGAGTCTCTTTAAATTTACTCTGTCGATTCTTGGCCGTTGGAAACTGTGATTGATTGTCTCTGTCTTCTATAGCTTGGAATTGCAATTGGGTTCTTGGTCCCTCCTGTTTTGGTACCCAACATCGAAGACCGGGACAAGCTTGCCTACCACATCAGCATCATGTTTTACATAATAGCAGGCGCGGCTACTCTGCTTTTCATCCTTGTCATCATCGGTAAGGTCATTAGTAGACTGATGGGGGGCCAGGAGGCAGGGAGGTTCTGCTGACTTGGGTGGGGACCTTGTGAACATGGCCTTAGAATACCGTGGACATTTATAGAAACTGGAGGTCAGGCTTCTAGTGGTCTTCAAATGTCTTAGCCAATAGCGTGCTAGCTGGTCTTGTGTACTGTGTTAGCTGCTCAGTAAAGGTTTAATTGTAATTAACCAGTTCCCCAATAAAACCTCACCAGAATTAATGGGTGGGCTGTTGATCCCCGTGTGAAAGCCCGCTGAGTGCTCATGATATATACCCCGGACACTGTGCCAAGCGTGCCTGGTCTTGAATCTTGAGTGACGTTTTACGATCATCAACCCCATCAATCCCCTCTTTCCCACAAAGAGGAAAACGAGACTTCAGGGGAGTTAAGTCAATTATTTGAGATTAGTTAGCTAGTAAGTGGCAGAGAGTGCCTAACCCTGTCTAACTCCATACTCCAAATTTCTGGAACAAACCAAAACAAAACAATTGGCCCACAAACACTTAATACTCTCATAGATTCATCTGAGAATCCCTGGGGACCACATTTGTTGAGGCTTTTTAAAAAAACTATCAGAGGAATACATGCTCATTATGGAAAAATCTGGAAAATACGAGACAGCATAAAGAAAAGAATAACCTGGGTGCCTGGCTGGCTCAATTGGTAGAGCACGCAACTCTCGATCTCAGGGTCATGAGTTCGAGCCCTATGCTGGGGGTAAAGGTTACTTCAATGAATAAATAAAATAAATAATTAAAATAAAAAGGAATAACCATGAATTTAGACTGTACCAGTTAATCCCCACCAGCAACCTCAGATAACTACTATTAATTTTTATGTGCATGTACATTTGATCATTGAGATATTGGTTAATATATCTTACATCCTCTCTTACCGTCTGAGTAATATTACCTGTGCTGTGATAAATTCAGAAACAGTGCAGTAGAGGCTTTTTCATTTTCAGGTAGTCACTCGTCTTTAAAGGTTATCCAGCTTTCTTCCTAACATTCCGTCCCAACGTGGTAAAGGTCTTGTTCTTCCCTGCTAGCCTCACCTCCAGAGTCAGAACAGTTTTATGACCGTGCACCCCATTCCACGGCTCTCACCGAGGCATTCTCTCCCTCGGGGTCCAAGATGAGAAAGTTTGGTGACTTTTCAAAGCTGGCAGGATATGTTGGGCAGAGGACTTGCTGTTTCTGGGAAGGGGAGAAGCTACAGGGCTATGGATAGCCGCGGGAAAGAACAGTCTGCCCAGGGACCCTCTTACTCAACCAGACCTTAAGTTTCAACTTGTAATGTGCCAGCTTCAAATGCCTGTGCTTAGAGCAGCTGAGGGTGTGGTTCTTTGCATTTGAATTCCCGAAGGTAAGACATTTCTCCATTTTGACATTTTATTATCAAGCCAGAGAGTGGCTAATTGAGTTAAAGAACTGAGAAATCTGATCTAAATTCTGGTTTGTGGTGGCCAGGGTCTTGAACAAACCGGACAGAAATAGCCTCTTGTCTTGCTTTCTTTCCCCTGCTGCAAGGGGAGGTGGACGGGCAAGACAATGGATGAGTGGTTTCCAACGGCAGGAAGTAATTCAGGACTATTTCTGGAGAAGGAAGAAGCAGGGCTCTGAAGTTAGGGCTGGAAGGTTTTCTGGGTGGGGGACCTCTTTGATCTTCAAGAGAGTAAACCTCATTTCTAGAGCTTCCTCTAACTGGAAACAGTCTACTGACCTTTCAGGAGTGTTCTCATGGTGTGTGGAGAAGGCTACATGGAGCTTGCCTGGACCCAACTTCGGGGGCAATTTAGCCAAACAACTGGTTACACTTATCTGGCCCCAGAACCTGAACAGTGATCAGTGCTGTCAAATTGATTGTACCAGCTGTGCTGAAAATCGAATATAAAATGAATGGTTTTCTTTCCCTTCTGTCCTGTCCCTCCCCAGTCCTTCATATCACAGTGACCACTCCTGCAGGGGGATGTGTTAATTCTCTTGTCTTTTCAGGAGGCAGACATTAGACTCAGACCTTGACAAACTAAGAATGGACTTGAGGTTTTTTCAATAGAAGATCTTTTCACTTATTCAGGGAATATTCCTTGGCTGCCATGTGCCAGGCTCTCTGCTGAGCAGGGACACCGTCCCTTCCCCCTCGGGAGGAGCTCTGGTGCTAAGCCATTCACTGGGCTCACTAATCTGAAAGCCTCAGCTCTCGCTTCCTTTCTAGCCATGTATTACTATTATATTATTTTCCGTGCTCTGCGGTATGTTATTTGCTGATTTAGTATGGAGCTCCTTGATCCTTGAACGCTGCCTGGGAGACCCAAGGAGTGCAGCCATTGAGAGGCCATGAAGAAAAAGTAAAGGACCTCACTCAGCCGCAGGTGGTGAGAAACAGCTTCAAGAAAGGAGGGGTTGAAGGATTTAATTGAAGAATTAATATTTCCTTTTCGAGTCTTTTTCTAGATGAGGGAGCCAGCTCTTGTCCATGTGTCAGCTCTGCAGGGGTGGGGTCATGGGGATTTGCAGTGATCTCTCTGTTTCTTTCCTTTCAGTATTCAAGGAGAAGCCTAAACATCCCCCCAGCAGGGCCCAGTCCCTGAGCTATGCCTTGGCATCCCCTGATGCTTCGTACTTAAGTTCCATTGTTCGGATCTTCAAAAACCTCAACTTTGTGCTGCTCGTCATCACCTACGGTAAGGTGCACATGTGTCCAGGAGTGTATTTAAATTGGGAATGTGAGACAAGAGACCTGATGTGTCTGTGTGTCTTACTCTTTCCAAATCCCAAATGTATATATAAAGCTGTTGTTCAGGGTCAACCAGAGAGTCAGCTGTACCTCAGGGCCTTTGCATGTTCTCTAGAGTTCACCTAGAAAACCATTCCTCCCCATGTCAAGTTGTCTGACAAATGCCTGCTGATCCTCCAAGTCTCATCTGAGTATCACTCAGATGCTATGAAGTGACCTTTACCTCTTTTATTATGCTGTTCCTGGTACATCTTAACACTTAACCATTAAAAAAATTTTTTTCCAGGTCTGTCTTGCCCCTAGACTGTGAACATTCCAAGAGTGCGGATTTATGGCTTTTTATCTTTATATTTCCTCAGCAGTGGCCAGGCTGGAGTGGACACTCTAACATTATTTAGTGAATGAATGCATGCATGTATGAGTCTTGCCACATAAACCACTCCTCAGCCAATCATCTGTCATTTTATAACACTGATTCCTTTTTGACCTGACTGCAAGACAGTATCCCTCTTTTATTTCACTTTTTTGGCTTTTGGTAAGATACATTTGAATATTTATGCGTTAAAAAATTTTTTTTAAAGATTTTATTTTACTTATTGTAGAGAGGGGGAGAGAGAGAGAGAGAGAAGGTCCATGAGCCAGGGGGAAGAGCAGAGGGAGAGGGGAAGCAGACTCTGCTGAGCACGGCGCCTGAAACAGGGCTCGATCCCATGACCTCCAGATCATTACCCAAGCTGAAACCAAGAGTCAGACTCTCACCCAGGTGCCCCTACTAGTTAGTTTGTTTAAAATCAAGAGTCAACAGTTGTGTAACATGCTTCGTAACCATAAGAAAAAAAGAAACAAGGTTGGTTTGACATAATTTATGCTTACTGAAACCCCAGGTGGCTATAACCTTGTTTTCTGTACAAACCTTGTATTTTCTGTACAAAACCTTGTTTTCTGTGCAAACCTTCTTGCATTTTATGTAAATGTATTTACAACAGCATTTACTATGTCCCGAGACTTTTCGTATATGATTTTATTTATTTAACTCTCATCACACCCATGTGAGGTAGGTACCATAGTTATCCCTATTCAACAGATCAGAAAACTGAAACTCAAGACAGGCTAAGTAGCTCAAGAAGACACAGCTTTGAATTGGCAGAGCCAGGATTCAAATACAGGTTTATCCGACTCCAAAGATTACACAATTAATGCCTATACCCCTTTCTAGAACTGTGCCAGAGTTTCATGTTAGGCTTATCATGCTCTTTATCTAAATTAGAGTGTTTATCTGCTGAGGCACTAGATAAGAAAGAGGTAGTATCATCCACAGGAGAGGGGCACGCCTATTTTTCAGGCACTCGAAAAAATAAGTGATCTCTCACCCAGAAGAGTGCTGGATGAGCAGATTAGTCTTCAAGGTCTCAGGTCTCTGTTTCTCATTCTCTCCAGCTCTTCAGTTCTGAGTATGTCTCTGCCTTCACCCACAATATAAAGACAGAGTTTCCAGTACTTAAGATATCCAACTAAAGAAGTTATGTGAGTTGCCCATCAGTGGGAGGCATTCAAGTGTAGATGGGACCAACTACTTAGTGGGGATATTGTGGAGAATGTCAGGCTATATAGATGGATAGTAAAGCGACATGACCTTTGGGATCCCTTGCAGATTCCGGATTGCATGGTTCTGAGAACTTACACTTTTCCTGAGTTAAACATCTCAAGTACATTGACCTTTGAACACCATAAATCTTATTGCATCTGACATCAGGGTATTTGAGGCCTACCCTGGGATTCTAGGGCAGATGAGTGCTTAATAAATACTTTCTATGGATGAGAATGAGGATAGTGGTGATACTGGGCAATGACCCCAGTCTGGAGGCGGGGGAGAAAAGCAACTCTTCCTCTTCCCCTCTTGCATGGCTGGTTGCTTATATGGTCTTTAATTGGCAGAGTGGTCTTTATATGGCAGAGTGATTTTAATACTGTACTTCTGAACATTCATCTATTTGGTTACATGACAACACAGGAAACAAATAGGGAAGCACTTCTGGAATGGTAGAGTGAGGACCCTGGATAATTTGTTATTCCATAAAGCAACAAGTACACTGGCAAACATTGTCAAAATCAAATTTTCAGAACTCTACGACAAAGGTGTGCAACAATCCAAGGGACATTTATTCAAGGAAAAAAGGTCTGAATAATGGCAAGAACAGTGAGCTTTGTGTTTTAACTTGCCCTATTCTGATCCGCCTCTCCCAGTCTCTGTGGTAGCCTTGACAACCAGAGCCTAGCAGCCTCACAGACACTTGATGGGGCAAAAACAATTTTGGAGCTCCCCCAAAAGCCCCATTCCTGGGTCATTATTTGATATCTGACAGTTCTCTAGAAGAGCCCCATTCAGAGGACTTGCTTTTATTTAACCTGACTCAGAGCTTGCTCTGTGGGAAAAGCACTATTTCCAGGGCATTTGTTGAAAACAATCAGTGTTTAGCATTGTAGCTGCCTAAGGTAGAATACCAGTTGGGGTAAACAGGAAGCTGGCCAAAAATCTTGAAACAAAAATCTAGAGAATGAGATTCTCATTCTCTAGGGGCTTTGAAAAGCTCTGACATATTCTTAGGAATCTAGAAGTCCACGTCCACATTACCAGGAAAGACCTGACAAAGCCCTAAACTCTCACCTCTGGCTGACCTTGAGGCTCTGTGCACGGAGGAAGTGAAGGCTAAGGCAGAGTTGACATCTGCCTGCTGGAGCATTGAGGGAGAAGCCCAACCCCCACACAGAGGAGGTCCTTGGCAAAGGTGGAGACTTATTGGTTTAAGGTATTTAAGGGAATCTCTGTCTAATCATTACCTCACCACTAAACTGATAAAGCAGAAACTTCAGCAGCTGCACATGACAAAGAATATAAACTTTACAAAATTAGTCCAGGAGAGTCACTAAACAAATAGCAGCAACAGCAACAAATCCTGAGGAGGGAGGAGAATCTCATTTCCAAAGTTGACATGGTATTTAAAATGTCCAGCTTTACCAAAAGATTATGAGACATGCAAAGAAATAGGAAAGTAAGACTCATACACAAGGGAAAAAAAGCACTTAATAGAAACTCTTCCTGAGGAAGCCCTGATGTTGGACATAATAAAGATTGTAAGTCAACAATATAAATAGGTTCAAAGAACTAAAGAAACCATGCCTAAAGAATGAAAAAAAGATGGAGAATAATGTCTTACCAAATAGAGAATATCGATAAAGACAGGAATAAAAAAGAACCAAATAGGAATTCTGGAATTGAAAATAACTAACTAAAATGGAAAACTCACTGGAGGGTTCAAAATCAGATTTGAGCTGTCAGCAGAAAGAATCCGTGAAATTGAAGATAGATCAAATGAAATCCTGTCTGAGGAACAGAAAGAATAAAAAATGAAGAAAAATGAGCCGAGCCCCGGAGACCTGTGGGAAACCATCAAGCAAACCGACATATGCATAGCGGGAATCTCAGAAGGTGAGGAGAGAAAGGGTGGAAGTAAATTGTCATTTAAACTGGGATAGTGCTAGCCAGAAAAGCAATTCTCTTCTGAGTCTCTAGGAGCATTTGACTCCATTGTATAGGTAGAATTTATTAATTTTTTTTCCCTCAAAGGCCTGGGATTATTCCAGTGAGAGAGAGTTAAACTAATCTGGATGTTTGCGTATATTTCATTATAGTCAAAAAACCGCAAGCCTTTTTCCATGATAGATAATTGGACTTGGTGACTAAGCTCTTGACCAACAAGGAAATGATTTTTAGGCTTAATCATAGACTTGGAAAGAATTTTATTGAGCCATTACTGTGTGTCAGGTACTATGTTAAGTGCTTCACATGGATTATCACATTTAATCTTCAAAACAAACCCATGACATCAGTTCTTAATTCCATTCCATTTTATATATGAGGAAGCTGAGGCTCTATTTAGTTACGCGCCCACAACTGGAAGGCTAGCAAGCAACAGAGCTTGGATTTAAACTTCTGTCTGTCTGATGCCAAAGCCCATCTTCCTAACCGCCATGCCATTTTTGCCTCCCTATGGAGAGAGGAACATCTTAGAGACAGAGACAGAGCTCTTTTAAGCCCCACTTGTCTGAGTGGTCTTTGGATCTCCCTAGTGGAGTAAGTGCTTCTTCAGATTCAGTCCCAGACCAGTTGCCTGGGAGTTGCCTTCTCCTAAGAGGCAAATCTAGAGTTTGGGGTTTTTGAAGCAGGATCAACTTATATTGACCAGCCATCTTTGGGATTTAGAAAGGATGGGGTCTTGACTTTAGTGTCTCTTTAAGGCTTAGAGGTCATGTAAAGGCAGTGTTTGGGACTCAGTCCACCTGAGAATCACTGCTCTCTTCCAAATTAAATCTTTGCTCCCAATTACAAACAAAACCCTCTATAAATTCAGCTAGATGCTTTGAAGCTCTCCAGAATGTCCCCCACCCTTCCTATAGTTTCAGGTTGGGCTTTGAAGAAGGAAATGGTTCATACTTTTTATGTTGTATATATGATGTTCATATTTTCCTCTGAATTACATGCACTTAAGAGCATGTGGCTTGAATCGAGCAGATGATAGCATTTCATGGGCACATTTGTTGGACGTGGGTAAACACATCTTTGAGTAAGAGCCTTGAATGCTGGAGTGGTGAATTCAGAGTTGGCACATAAGAAATAAGAAGTCTGAGTTTTGATGTCAGCTCTGCCGATTACTGAGTGTACCTCCTTCACCCATCCTTTGCCCATGAAATAATAATCTCAGAAAATAAGAATTAAATTTGCTTCCCATTGGAGTGCTCTGAGTGGAAATGAAAGCTTTTAAAGCAATTGCAAATAGATGCTGCATGAATCCACATTGCTGTTGCACTGGTAATCTTGATTTCCTACATTCTTTTGTTCGTCTGAACTGGATTTCATGAAGTAGGGAGTAGCTCCCATGTAGCTGGTGGGATGTCCAGTACTGTCTTTTTAGTGGCTTTCCAAGGGCTTCTCCAAACTGCTGAGTCAGCTGCCCAGAGTGGAGCCTGGTGAGGGCTTTGGAGGAATTCCAGGGGCTTTTACTTGTAGGCCTCTGGTCATACCCTTAGTGGTAGGTTTGAGAGATAAAATAAGGGCTATCCAGCTAAATTTGAATTTCAGGTAAACAGCACATTCTTTTCAGCATAAATGTCCCATGGAGTATTTGGGGCATATTTATGCTTAAAAAAGTGTTACCTGAAATTCAAATTGTAGCTGGATGTGTTGTTTTTGTTTTTCTCCTAAATCTGGCAGCCCAACTTGGAGGGGAGGGGGCAGAGATGGGGTTTGTGTTTGATGTTGCTGAAATATTACAGGAATAAAAAACTGCCTCTTCCTCTAGTGAAATACCACCACCACCCACCCCTCCTCCAGGTTTGGCAATGCAGGAAGACCCAGGGCTGGAACCAGATTCTCTACAGGTCTGTCAGAGTCTGGGGGCAGGACGGGTCTTAGGATGTGTATCAGCAGAGGTGGGAGGGAGTGTGGGGTAAGAGAATAACCTTTCTTTGGCTACCTTCTCCTTGAGTCCCTAGGCCCTGCTTTCACATGGCCTCCTCTACTGCCTTATCATCAATGGCGCAACAATTGCCATGTTGAAGAAAGTTGTTGAAAAGGCTCCTCTTCTAAAGAATGTCCTCAAAGGGAATACTTTTCCATGTTATCCCCCAGCCTTGCCTTCAGCTATGCTTCTGAATAATCTTCCAGTGTTGGGCATCCAGACTCAGAGCCCAACACTGGAAGATTATCACCTTCCCTTGGGGCTTTCAAGGGCTTTACTCCTGCTCACCCCCCATGGGTTTAGGGAGGGTGATTGTGCCCCCTCTCAGATCCTGCTTGAGAGTGGGCATAATATCCTTCTTGTAATTTCCTGGAGCTTTGTTGAGGTGAGGCTGGCCCTTAAAATGAAGGTTTACTACACATTCAGGAAGGACCCAAGGGAAATGAACACAGAGTATCCAGAACCCAGAGACAGGATCTGGGGTCAGTGTTTCCCAAGCTTGCCTGATGATAGACTCCCCTGGGGTGCTTGGTTGAGTGCGTGCCTGGATTTCCCTGCCTTTCTTCTAGAAATTTCAGTTTCAGAAAGTCTGGGTAAGGGCCTGGGAATCTGCTCTTAAAAAGCATTCCAGGTGATTCTGGTTTGCAGCAGGGTTAAGCATATCTAAAGTACGTGTGTTATGGATCATTCTCATGGTCTTGAAGCCCCTTCCCATCCCAGTGGCCACCATGTTAACCCCAGCACCTGGGAGCCCGGGCCTGGTCTTGGATCTTCCAGATTCCCAAGGTCATTTATTTCTGAATAATGAGAAATGACCAGGGTTGTTGTTGTTGTTGTTGTTAAGTGGGCTCTACACTTGAACTCAAGACCCTCAGATCAAGACCTGAGCTGAGATCAAGAGTCAGATGCTTAACCGACTGAGCCACCCAGGTGCCCCTGTTGTTGTTTTTGTTTTTAAAGATTTTATTTATTTATTTAAGATAGTGACAGAGAGAGAGAGAGAGAGAATGTTTGAGCGAGTGGCGGGGGGGAGTGGCAGATGGGGAGGGACAGGGGCAAGAAGACTCACCACTGAGTGTGGAGCCCAACACGGGGCTCAGTCTCATGACCTGGAGATCATGACCTGAGTTGAAATCACGAGTGTGACACTCAGCTGACTGAGCCACCCAGGTGCCTGCTGTTATTTTTAAATTGCAGATTCCTAGCTCCATTCCAGGAGAATCAGATTTAGTAGGTCCAGGGTGGAGCCCAGGAATCTGCATTTTTAAACTCTCCCGCACTTAACTTTGTATCTCATTTCTGTGGGAACCTGATAAAGGGAGTAAGTGAACGGCATTTAGGCAACATCGCATCTGATAAAGATGGCCTCGTGATAAAAGTGACTATCTGGACTGGGGGACGTTTCATACCTGGTAGGAGGCCATTCTTTGTGCTTCTCTGAGTATGGTGACTCTTCACTGACCTGTCCTCTAGGGGACCCCCAAAGCCATGCCTGTGGAGATGCTACAAGCAATAGTCGCTCCTGTGAGGTGTTAAACCAGGGTGGTTGCCATACCCACATTGCCCTGTGCCTGTGCCATCACCGTGGGGCCAAAGAGGATGGCTTCTGGATGGTTCCATGGTCTGGGGTTCGTGGGAGAGGAACCCCTGAGGCCGCCCTGCTCTCGAGCTGTGTCCTGTTACTTAGAGTCATCTAAGTGTATCTAATGTCGTGTGCCATGATAGTCTTGTGAGCCTCAAAATTAGTTAAAATTAAAAAGACCCCTGGTGAGCATTATAAAGTGACGTTCTGTATTTGTTTTTAAACTCTGTGTGCATTTTTCTCATCTATAAAATGGGGATGATAATATTACCTACCTTGCTATGAGGATTGTAAGGTACTTACAACAGTATCTAGTACATAAGTATGTGCTACTGCCACCCTCCTCCTCAGCACCCTCCTCCTCACCACCCTCCTCACCACCCTCCTCACCACACTCTTCCTCACCACCCTCCTCACCATCCTCTTCCTCACCATCATCCTTCTCACCACCCTCCTCCTCACCACCCTC